AGGATACAACTGACGATTTACTATAAAACCAGAAAAACGCCCAGCCTACTCATGAGAAACTCTCCAGACACAAAACAGAACGCTTTAAAAGAGACCAACGTCGTCTATGCCTTCAAATGCCCACTTGGAGACTGTAAGCTCAAAAAAACCCAGTATATAGGCAAGACAACAACATCTCTTTCTAGGCGTTTAACGATGCATCAGCAACAGGGCTCCATTAAGGAACATATAATCTCTTCCCACAACCAAACCATCGCCAGAGAAATCCTAGTAAACAACACAGAAATCATCGATAGATACAGCGATAGCAGACGGCTTGACGTTTGCGAGGCACTGCACATTAAGAAGTCAACACCAGCAATCAACAGCCAATTAATGCACAACTATATTCTACCCACCTCAAGACTCCGCTCCAATATAGAAGCATCAAGAAATATGGACCAATAGGCTTTCTACAATCACTTCCATTTCAATACCCATTGTTTCGTGTTCTATCTTGTGTTGATGAAATTAATACCCTATTAAATACCACCTCACTCAAATGTAGATATAAACAAATCGGAGATATGTAAGTTCTATTCAGTTGTGTATGTGTAAAGTCTTTGAAAATGTAATAAGTTTTACGAAACGCGCTCAAGTGTCGCGTCAGACTAGAAATAAAAATGAATTTTGGAGAATTGATTTTCGAATTACCTCCAACAGTGAAAAGAAATGTACGAAGGATTGAGAAAATTCGTGTTAGAATTATTAATCTTACTTTTTCGGTCATATTTAATAATATATATCTACAGGAAAGACTGCTACCAATATATATATATATATATATATATATATATATATATATATATATATATATATATATATATATATATATATATATTATATATATATATATATATATATATATATATATATATATATATATATATATATATATATATATATATATATATATATATATATATATATATATATATATATATATATGACAATGTCAGACCACGGAGGAAAATGAAACAGGAAATTTCCTTAAGTACTTTCGTATATTAAATACATCTTCAGAAGGTATGTTCTCTGAAGATGTATTTAATATACGAAAGTACTTAAGGAAATTTCCTGTTTCATTTTCCTCCGTGGTCTGACATTGTCACATTCTTAATCACGTGTTTATTTTCGTGATATACACACACACACACACACACATATATATATATATATATATATATATATATATATATATATATATATATATATATATATATATATATATATATATATATTATATATATATATATATATATATTTATATATATATATGCATATTATATATTATATATATATATATAATATACATATATATATTTAAATATATATATATATATATATATATATATATATATATATATATATATAAATATATAAATAATAGGGAAGGGAATACCACGTCTGGCTGGAAGAAGGGGGACCCATAGCCTCGGAGGAAACCACACATAACGCATTGGAGGGAATGTAGGTCCCCCTCCAATACAGTTTCTGTGTGCTTTTCTTCTACCACCCCCTTCCTTTTTTTTTTTTTTTTTTTTTTTTTTTTTTTTTTTTTTTTTTTTTTTTTTTTTTTGGCTTTATTGTGTATATAAAGTTGACAAAACATACAAGACAAATGCCTAAAGGTTATGGATCTCTTGAAGCTCCTCCGCTTCCGGACAGGAACCGAGGACGCAGCAAGCATTTCCCCTCTGGATCGCCACACTCAGGCGATATATATATCGTATATATATATATATATATATATATATATATATATATATATATATATATATATATAAGTTGTGAGGGATACCACCTCTGATGCAAATGTGGGGACTCATAGCCACGGAGAAGAAAATAAGGAGTAATCAGAGAAGACCTTGTGGATTCTCACTGATCACTAATATTTTCTGCTTCTACCACCCCCCACTCTTTTGTATATACATGTATATTTGTATAATTTAAACTTTGTTACAAACCAGGAGTTGCATATAGGTACAAAGATGATTATCATAAGTTGTCGAGTTCCTCCAGCTCATCAGTTGGCGGGCAGGAACCCTGAATGCAGTGTGCATTTCCCCTCTCTATCGCCACGCTAAGACGCTGGAAAAGGAAGCTGGCAGCTCTAGGGTCCCTTGTTGTTTCAATGAGCCTAGAACCCAGTTCCTTCAAAAAACTGGTAGTACTTTTACCACAGGCGCCGAGTGTCTCAGAAGCAATGCGGACAAAATCCTACCTAATCTCGGCACCCAGCTGAAATTATAACCCATCTCAGAAATATTATCAATTCCTTTAGGGAAATAAATAACTCCGTTGTGTTCACATCAGTGAAACCTCGCCAATCGAGGAATAATAATTGTTGGAGAGTGAGTCCTGAGTATTATCAACGTGCAGCAAAATATATTCATTTTCGGCTGAGAAAAATAGTGAGGTTGGACGCCACCTACATTCACTGTACTGCCAGACCATATCGTGAGAACTTGGCTCCAGACGGAGTACACCTGTCACGGGAGTCTAGGTCACATGTGGTCGATAAATTAATTAATGCCATTAATCACCACTGGAGGTTGTGGCTAGCAAGCCAACATTTACTGTACATATTTAAATTTCTTATACATGTATTTCTCATAAGTGTATATTCAATATATATATCAAAACTACAAAATCCCCAAAACACAGCACTGAGATATATCAACCTTATTGCACATCATTTATTGTATTTTATGCAACCCAAAGGGGTAGGATTTTTAGACTGCAATTGTACTAAGGTGGAGCTGGTCGGCCGAGCGGACAGCACGCGGGACTTGTGATCCTGTGGTCCTGGATTCGATCCCAGGCGCCGGCGAGAAACAATGGGCAGAGTTTCTTTCACCCTATGCCCCTGTTACCTAGCAGTAAAATAGGTACCTGGGTGTTAGTCAGCTGTCACGGGCTGCTTCCTGGGGGTGGAGGCCTGGTCGAGGACCGGGCCGCGGGGACACTAAAGCCCCGAAATCATCTCAAGATAACCTCAAGAAGAAGGTGTGTACAACTCTAGCCTAAACTATTTAGCTACTTTATTAGGTAGGATTGATAACAAAAATAAAAAAGGACGTCTGGTTAAGAACCGGACCGCGGGGACGCTAAGCCCCAAATCATCTCAAGATTACCACGTGTGAGCAAAGATATAGTTGAGGTTGCCAGTGTTCGGACACTTGTAAGTTACCACAACATCGTCGGTTTTCAGATAAACATTCGATTGGTCAGTTCTGCAACTGACCCGGCAGCGATACTAGCTAAACTATACGATGAACCCGAACAAAATCCCCAATAACTTTACAAGAATAGTTTTCTGAATCATATAAAGGGTCTTCAAAAAGAGTTCCCCAAACCTTCGTAACACAACCATTGAAGAAGAAATACATGAAGCTTAGTGAATGTAGGTCTTGATCACTGAAGGTTGTGCACGGATCCTTGACTGCTGGATCCTGTTCACCCAGTGAGATGATGTTCTAGGATAACCTAACATGATAATGATAATGCTCAAGAGGAGCTGTGGGAAGACAGAGTTCCGGGTCTGCTAAAGTCACATATCATAGTTCCCTCTACCCTCCAGCTGTGTAAAAAAATAGGAAACACAAATTCCTAACCTAAAATCTATCTATCTAAAATCAGATATTATGTTCCAGACTCTGCTCTTCTCTCATTATACTACACGCTAATCTATCCCTAACTTACATACGGTATCTGTGCATGGGGTTCAACCGCTGCAAACTACCTCAAGCCCATCATCGCGCCTGACAGCTGAATGGACAGCGCTTCGGATTTGTAGTCCTGAAGTTCCGGGTTTGATCCCCGATGGAGGTGGAGACAAATGGGCAAAATGTTTCTTTCACCCCTGATGCCCCTGTTACCTAGCAGTAAATAGGTACCTGGGAGTTAGACAGCTTCTACGGGCTGCTTCCTGGGGTGTGTAACAAAAAGGAGGCCTGGTCGAGGACCGGGCCGCGGGGACGCTAAGCCCCGAAATCATCTCAAGATAACCTCAAGATAACCCAGCAAAAATCTGCTATCAGAACAAGAACAAATTCTGTTTTCAGACAACACTCAGCCCCCCTGTTTAAATCCCAAGACATGCTAAACTTAAACTCACTCCACACATTCTCTTTTGCCATTTACATGTACAAAACCTTGTTCCTAAATGCAAATCCTGATCTGAAATTCTTCCTTGACAGATGTAATAGAACTCGTAATCACCATACCAGAAATTAATATCTCCTTGATATCCCTAGTCAAACTAAATCTGTGTAAACACTCTATGCAAATAAAGGGATCTAGTCCATGAAACTCACTCCCTAAGGAATTAAAAAGCTGTCCAACCTATGCCTTATTCAAAAGTAAAACCAAAAAATACCTGATTCCATCCTAATAGTTTCCTAACTAGTGCTTCAAACTCGCACTGTATCTTGTACTACCCCACATTCCTCATATATGTGTGCCTAAGCCATCCAACTTCACCATTGTAATCACTGCTATCATCTTATATCGTAATTATGTTAAACGCAAATGTATCTAGAAATAATCCTCAAATTATGCTACAATGTATCTGTTGATAATCCTCAAATTTTACTATAATGTACCTATTAATTGTCTTCAAATTATCTTACAATGTACCGGTTAATATGCTTCTAATTATGCTATTAATTACCTACTGAAAATTATCTGTTAGAAAAAGGACTTGCTCAAAACGCTATGCGTGTTACTGCCTTTACAAGAATGTAAAAACATCAATGCTATGTTTTTTGATAAGCCCAGTGTACCTTCTTGTATATAAATAAATAAATAAATAAATGAATAAACCTAACTACCTGGGAACTACATTGTTAGATTTTGTAATGAAACTTCTTTTAATAAATTTAAACATGTTTAAAGCATCAAATCAATGGCAGCAAGAGTTGTAAGGAAGAGTTTGCAAACGAAGTCTTGGAAGATAAAAAAAAATGAGAACCCAGTAACGATGCGAGAATTGTAATAATATTTTCCCACAAAACCAGATAAAATGAGGTGGACAATATATATTTCTTGTGAGACGTAAGCAACAGTCTGCGAAGTTGTAATCTGGAAGGTGAGAAACCCCAGCTGACGAATTACCAGGCAGCAGCGGGCGATACAATTGCCCAGGCAGCAACGGTGCTACAAGTTCCCAGGCAGCAGAGGGTAACGCAAGCTCACGACTGCAGCAAACAACAGAACAGGCTCTCACGTCCAGTCAAACAACGACCAGCCAATACCAGGAGACAAAGGTACCGCTACCAGAGTGTCCTACAGACCTCAACACTCCTGACACTACACCAGCGACACCTGTCAGACGTCACCTCCAACTGAGGCCTTCCTAGAGCGGCGACCACTGTCAGCGGAAACTTTCTGATGATACCACCGCCTGAGACTATCATGTTTGTGTCAGCACTGCTGGTCAGCAGCCTCCTGACACTGGTGGTTCCCGGTAAGTGTGTCACTGTAAGGTACAGTTGTTAGTGTCAGCAGCTTCCTGACACTGGTGGTTCCCAGTGTGTCACTGTAAGGTACAGTTGTTAGTGCCAGCAGCTTCCTGACACTGGTGGTTCCCGGTGAGTGTGTCACTGTAAGGTACAGTTGTTAGTGCCAGCAGCTTCCTGACACTGGTGGTTCCCAGTGTGTCACTGTAAGGTACAGTTGTTAGTGTCAGCAGCTTCCTGACACTGGTGGTTCCCAGTGTGTCACTGTAAGGTACAGTTGTTAGTGTCAGCAGCCTCCTGACACTGGTGGTTCCCAGTGAGTGTGTCACTGTAAGGTACAGTTGTTAGTGCCAGCAGCTTCCTGACACTGGTGGTTCCCGGTGAGTGTGTCACTGTAAGGTACAGTTGTTAGTGCCAGCAGCTTTCTGACACTGGTGGTTCCCAGTGAGTGTGTCACTGTAAGGTACAGTTGTTAGTGCCAGCAGCTTCCTGACACTGGTGGTTCCCAGTGAGTGTGTCACTGTAAGGTACAGTGCACAACACTTGAAGTCGTCATGTATGTGACAGTGATGCTGATTGCATATGACAAACCAAATAAAATTTTCAGCCGTCAATGGTTGTACATTTATAACTTCCGTAGGTTAATTTTCTCAAAATTTTTGGTTGTTGGAAAATTTGGCTGTTTGGCTTAACTTTGGTTGATTTTTTTTCTATTCGGAAAAATACTTTCCCTAATCAAGCAGTAAAATATCAAGAAAAACGTATGAAATTATATTGTTCAGTAAATTAACGTGTATACATTTAAAAGTAGATTAGAAAAGTAATTCTCTTGTAATCCGCGCTGAATATACCACTATACAAGCTTTCCATAAACAAACAGCCTAGTTTGGATCTAAAGGCCTGTTTGAATGTAATATGTTGGATTCACTCCCGATTTAATGTATTGCCTAACGGAAGTGCCTCTGAACCTTCCCAAGCTGTGTCGGGACAGGGGCAGTCAGGGGCTCGACGTCGCCCCCTGACGTTGTAAGGGGTACGACGACATCAGGTAGCGGTGGTATTTTTGGTGGGGTCGCCTGGATGAGGTGCAGAGGTCGTTAATTTATGGCGTTTGTTGTTGCTGGGTCGGTGGCTGCTGCTGGAGGTGTGTGGTGGCTGGTGCAGGGGTCGGTGGTTGCTGCTGGAGGTGTGTGGTGGCTGGTGCAGGGGTCGGTGGTTGCTGCTGGAGGTGTGTGGTGGCTGCTGCTGGAGGTGTGTGGTGGCTGGTGCAGGGGTCGGTGGTTGCTGCTGGAGGTGTGTGGTGGCTGCTGCTGGAGGTGTGTGGTGGCTGGTGCAGGGGTCGGTGGTTGCTGCTGGAGGTGTGTGGTGGCTGCTGCTGGAGGTGTGTGGTGGCTGGTGCAGGGGTCGGTGGTTGCTGCTGGAGGTAATTACCTAAGTGTAGTTACAGGATGAGAGCTACGCTCGTGGTGTCCCGTCTTCCCAGCACTCTTTGTCATATAACGCTTTGAAACTACTGACGGTCTTGGCCTCCACCACCTTCTCACCTAACTTGTTCCAACCGTCTACCACTCTGTTTGCGAAAGTGAATTTTCTTATATTTCTTCGGCATCTGTGTTTAGCTAGTTTATATCTATGACCTCTTGTTCTTAAAGTTCCAGGTCTCAGGAAATCTTCCTTATCGATTTTATCAATTCCTGTTACTATTTTGTATGTAGTGATCATATCACCTCTTTTTCTTCTGTCTTCCAGTTTTGGCATATTTAATGCCTCTAACCTCTCTTCGTAGCTCTTGCCTTTCAGTTCTGGGAGCCACTTAGTAGCATGTCTTTGCACCTTTTCCAGTTTGTTGATGTGCTTCTTAAGATATGGGCACCACACAACCGCTGCATATTCTAGCGTTGGCCTAACAAAAGTCGTGAACAATTTCTTTAGTATATCGCCATCCATGTATTTAAAAGCAATTCTGAAGTTAGAAAGCGTGGGATAGGCTCCTCGCACAATATTCTTTATGTGGTCCTCAGGTGATAGTTTTCTATCTAGAACCACCCCTAGATCTCTTTCTTATCAGAATTCTTTAAAGATTTCTCACATAATATATAGGTTGTGTGAGGTCTATGTTCTCCTATTCCACATTCCATAACATGGCATTTATTAACATTAAATTCCATTTGCCAAGTGGTGCTCCATATACTTATTTTATACAGGTCATCTTGAAGAGCATGACAATCATCTAAGTTTCTTATCCTTCCTATTATCTTAGCATCATCAGCAAACATGTTCATATAATTCTGTATACCAACTGGTAGATCATTTATGTAGACAATAAACATCACTGGTGCAAGAACTGAATCCTGTGGTACTCCACTTGTGACATTTCTCCAGTCCGACACATTGAATCTGATCACTGCCCTCATTTTTCTATCAGTCAGAAAATTTTTCATCCATGTTAGAAGCTTACCTGTCACCCCTCCAATATTTTCCAGTTACCAGAACAACCTCTTATGTGGAACTCTGTCGAAAGCCTTTTTTAGGTCCAGATAGATGCAGTCAACCTAACCATCTTTCCTGTAATATCTCTGTTGCTCGATCATAGAAACTGAGTAAATTCGATACACAGGATCTTCCAGATCGAAAACCATACTGTCTGTCTGATATTATATCATTTCTCTCCAGGTGTTCTACCCATTTAGTTTTAATTATTTTTCCAATATTTTGACTATTACACTTGTCAATGATACCGGTCTATAATTAAGGGGGTCTTTCCTGCTTCCACTTTTGTAGATTGGAACTATGTTAGCCTTTTTCCACACATCAGCTACAACTCCTGTAAACAGGGATGCCTGAAAAATCAGTTGAAGAGGAATGCTGAGCTCAGGTGCACATTCTCTCAGAACCCATGGTGAAACTCCATCTGGACCAACTGCTTTGTTCTTATTTAGCTCCTTGAGCATTTTTTCCACTTCGTCTCTAGACACCTCTATGTGCTCTATGTTGTTCTCTGGAATTCTTATTGTATCTGGTTCCCTGAAGATTTCATTTTGTACAAACACACTTTGGAACTTTTCGTTTAATGTTTCACACGTTTCCTTTTCATTTTCCGTGAATCTATTTCCCATTTTCAACCTCTGAATATTATCTTTTACCTGCAATTTGTTGTTTATGAATTTATAGAATAGACCTGGTTCTGTTTTACATTTGTCTGCAATCCCTTTTTCAAAATTTCTTTCTGCCTCTCTCCTCACTGCCGTGTAGTTGTTTCTCGCATCTTTGTATCGCTGGTGTGTTTGGGGGTTTAGCCTCCAAACATACCAGCGATACGAAGATGCGAGTTGTGTGCAGCAACCGACCATACAAAGATGCGGAGGTGTGTGGTGGCTGGTGCAGGGTCAGTGGCTGTTGCAGGGGTCGGTGGCTGTTGCAGGGGTCGGTGGCTGCTGCTGGAGGTGTGTGGTGGCTGGTACAGGGGTCGGTGGCTGCTGCTGGAGGTGTGTGGTGGCTGGTGCAGGGGTCGGTGGCTGCTGCTGGAGGTGTGTGGTGGCTGGTGCAGGGGTCGGTGGCTGCTGCTGGAGGTGTGTGGTGGCTGGTGCAGGGGTCGGTGGTTGCTGCTAGAGGTGTGTGGTGGCTGGTGCAGGGGTCGGTGGCTGCTGCTGGAGGTGTGTGGTGGCTGGTGCAGGGGTCGGTAATGATGCTTGTATAATTATTGGGCAGGAATGCCGTTGCTGCTGCTGCTGATGCTGCTGTTGTTGGAAGTGGGTTGGGTAGCACTGTGGATATCTGTTGAGGCTGTAGAAAGTCAATTGGTACTGTCATCTTGGCCAGCCCATTTGCTGCCAGCAGCCTGTTGAGGGTGGAAACGTATCTGGTGTTGTCGGAGCCTGTCAGTTTCTCGGCAAAGTGAATAAGAACGGGAGTGCTGGAGACCGAGGCTGCTGATTGGTTGGGTGATAAGGGGTAGGGCGGAGCAGTTGTCGCCTGTGTGCTGGGTCCCCATGGAAGGAGGGGGGCTGGGCTAGTGCGGACGTCGGTGTAGCAGTTAAAGCTGGTAGCGCTGGGAATGCAGTGGTCTGTATGTTGAACCTCATGACCTGTATGAACGTCGTAGTACCATCGGAGGTTATTCTGGTGGCTGATTACTTCTGAATTTCCTATTGTCTGGTTGTGCAGTCCAGGAAGACGGCGGTGTGTGATCGTCCACAGATGATGCACAGCTGCCACATCCTTCTTCCCCCCACTCCGTTCTTTAGAAACTCTTTGGACATAGAAGCAAACCACATCTGGGTGAGCAACTGACAAGACTTGTAGTTGTGCCCTTATGAACAGACTGCAATTTCCTTCGGTCAAGTCGCAATTTCGGGTGAAATGGTCATATTTGTAGCACTTATAGCACTGTCGTCGCTCGAGGTGACGTTCTTGCTTGATGGTATCTGGAGTGATTGAGATGTCAAGGCATCTAAACCCGTTTTCCGCAGCTTGGGTTACTGCTGCAGTTGCAGTGAATGTCACCTTCAGGGGTCAGGCGTAGGTTCTTGATGAACTTCGTTTTAACCGCTGTCAGGGTCGGGTTCTGGTCGTTGATGCTCTTTAGATTGACGATGGTATCCTGGATAGAGATGAAGATGCTGGTACGCTTGACGAAAATGTTTCTATCCGCCAGAAAGCGTCAGAAAGGGATGAGAATCAGATCCATGTTTCAAGGGGCTTCCTGGTGTTCAGGGACAAATAGGTGCTTCAGAGCCTCCTCGCTTGTGTAGAGAAGTTCGACGCCGAGTTGGAACTGAACCTTGATCCAGTGACTCATGGTAGTGTGAGTACACAGGTACCACGGGTGAGTGTTGAGGACACAGGTAAACTCATCCGCTATCCCGTCAATGGGACGCAGTAGTGATGGAAGACATATGCCTCTGCCTATCTAGTGATGTATGCCTTATATATCGGTCACTAATCTTCCTAAGATTAACCTTTTAGTTAGACAAAGTTAGTTTAACTGCTGAAAGACAATTGTTATTCATGTCGATGAGAGTCTAAAGTACATTTTTAAAAATAATAATTGTGTCAGTAGTTTGAGGCGTTCATAACTGGTCTATGACGCTGCCATATTTCCATGATTCATCTTGGAAAATTGGGTGAGTCAAGCCCTGAGCATTTGGCCTACAACCTTGGGTTGGTAAACGAAAAAAAGCAGATATTTTCTTATAGATATAGATTATGACATTCAATGCAATATATTGCGTTGAATGTCATAATTTAACTTTTTTAGGCAAAAAACATTGTGTATGGGAGCACGAAAGGATGAGTTGTGCTTTGTCAGTTTCTTGAGGTTTAGTCATTATATTACGGAAATTATAAATAAGAAATTATAATTATTCTTATGCTCACATTCATGAGCATAAGAAATAGTGGTGTTGAGAAACGCTCAGATTAGAACTGATTTAATTTTGTAGATGACATATCGCCTGTAAGAACTTTGCCCATAAAAATGTCTCATCTCATATTGTTGTAAGCACATTGTGCTTAAAAAAGCACAATGTGCTTACACAGTGTCACTTTCACACAGGACACTTAATATCTCTGCAGTGTTTTTCAAATCCCGGAGAGTCCACTTTCTTCAAGTTCACTATCTACGTCGTTCACATTCAATGGTCATCACCGGCGAATTCACCTTTTTCAACATGGGCCAGTCCACACACTGTATCGTCACGATGTCCAAATACCCGACATCTGTTCTCCAGAAACACACTGGCAGAGAGAGGGCTTCAGCAACATGCTGACAAGGGTAACAATACGTCCAGGAGTCACCACTAACACACTGGCATAAGTTTACATGCTAGCAGCACTTCTCAGCAGACGGCCAATACTGTCGTCTTGTCCAAATCCCGGGTATGTCGGTCTCACAATACTATATAAGTACAACAGCCAAAACACTTCTTACTACTGACGGTAGCCACTTGTTCTCGCAGGAAACAAGTCAGGAGTTCTGGACTGCCCAGGGTGAACTGATTTCCATAGTGCAATAGATCCCCCACGTCACCTCTGTGGACATAATAGTCATTAGCCAGACAGAAAGTGCACAAGGAGAACATGGGATGGCAGCCTTTCACCGGGAACAGAAAATATGATTAAATGTACACTTTAGATGACGTTGGTATCGTTACTCCACTCACCAGAAGTCGTCATCACCTCACCTCCTAACTGAGGTTTGAAACAGGCAGCTGCTGTTTTTTTCACAGACGCCACACATTTCACAGACGCCACACCTCCGCCAACAGATGGCATTGTCTGCATCTCACCAAATACCACTGTGCTTTTCGCACGTGGACCACCAACACGACAGTCGTAGCCAATTATATTATTTTTATAAGAGAGAGAGAGAGATTGAGGGAGGAGGGAAGACAGACATATAGACGTCGGGCAATACTGGGTATACCCTCCCACAAATATTTCCTGTTTGAATTGCATAGTTATATTATATTATGACCATGTATATATTGTATAACTTTTTAAATCCAAGAACATTCTATTTGGGAGCATGAAAGTATGATCTATGTTTTATTTGGTCCATAAGTTTTAGTCATTATATTACAGAAATTAAAAGTATGTTTTCACTTTCATGAGCATAATATATAGTGATGTTGAAAAACGCTTATATCAGAGTTGACTGTATTTGTAAATATCGTAATGTCTGCAGGAGCTTTGACTGTAAATTTAATATATAGTCTCATCATGGTGTCTAAGTGGATTTTTTTTTAAATGAAGTAGATTTTATTGTCAAGCCTACTTCACAACCATCTTATCCTGGTGTGAGTGTAGGTGGAGCCTCGTGCCCTACACCCTTCTTCATGATCCGGGAGGGCTGTTACTACTACATGGCGCCCAGCGACTTCAGGTGGGAGGATGCGCGGACGTTCTGCAGGAGCCTCCTGCCAGAGGAAAACTCCGACCTGGCCGTCATGGACTACTACTGCGATGACTTTATGCATATAGCCAACTACGCTGCGATCAGTGGTAATGTTCATAGTGCTGTTATGGTGGAACACTGTTTATATTGATTGTGGTGGTAAAGTGTTGATTAGTAGAATTCGAAAATGCACACATTGCATATTCCCAAGCACATGCCTTAAACCACTGAACAAAAACAACAAACAAAAATTTCTACAACAAAAATAATGTGACTTGGAATTCAACTGAATCCTCTAAGGTTCTTGAAACATTAGTTGTCTGCTAGATGCCTCAGAAACTCTAGAGGATTCAGTTGAATCTTAGGTTACATTACTTATGTAGCATATTGTGGTTCAGTGGTTTAATGTGTGTGCTTGGGAGTACCAAGTGTGTAGGTTCAAATCCTTCTCTTGACTTCTACTGATTTTCTCATAAGAATCAGTGATGGTTAAAAGTTGATAGATCTATGTTGCTTTTATTTGACTTATTGGTAATGATTTTGTTAATCACATTCATGTAAAAATTCAAACATTCTGCTTCATGCGACTTCTACATTTGTTCACAGAATCTGAGACTAAAGGTTGTCATGAGGTAGCTGTGTTGGAGTGCCTCAAATCTTGAGCACTTGAACAGCAAGTGCTGATTAATTAAGGGAACAAGGCAGTTATCGTTATCTTGAGATGATTTCGGGGCCTTTTAGTGTCCCTGGTCCTCGACCAGGCCTCCACCCCCAGGAAGCAGCCTGTGACAGCTGACTAACACCCAGGTACCTATTTTACTGCTAGGTAACAGGGGCATAGGGTGAAAGAAACTCTGCCCATTGTTTCTCGCCGGCGCCTGGGATCGAACCCAGGACCACAGGATCACAAGTCCAGCGTGCTGTCCGCTCGGCCGACCAGCTCCCTGTTGAGCGTAGAAAGACTCTACCAAAATGTCACAGTGTCAGGGTAGTTGACTATTATAATGCACTAGGAAGTGATGTGGTGGAGGCTGACTCCATACACAGTTTCAAGTGTAGATATGATAGAGCCCAGTAGGCTCAGGAACCTGTACATCAGTTGATTGACGGTTGAGAGGCGGGACCAAAGAGCCAGAGCTCAACCCCCGCAAGCACAACTAGGTAAGTACACACACACAAATATGTGTGTGTGGGGGGAGGGGGAGGCAGATCTGCCGCTTCCACGACACATCTGCCTCACTCAACACATTCTCTCCTTCAGAGCTGTAAGATTTTTGGGTGGGCGTGACTAATTATACTATATACTTAAGGTAGGAATATATTTTCACATATAAACCTAACATTCCCTAATTCAACCCTATACTATAATTTCGAGGTATGGGGGGGGGTCTAAACCCTCTGGTTATGGGTTAGGATAAGGAAAATTGGGTAAATGGTAATTAAATAGTTTTGGTGAGTTATATCCCTTTCTAACTAAGGTTAGGTTAAAGATGGTTAAATAAAGTGATGTAGAGAAAATTCCCATTATTATCATATTTTCTATTAACCTCCCTCCCAAGGAAATAGAGGTTAGGTTGAGGATGGTTGTATTGATGTGAAAAAAATGCTGCGAATATGATGCAATATTGAACCAAGATCCATGTATCAGAGGTTAGGTCCAGGGTGGTTGGGTTGATGCATAAACAACACTTTCTTCCCATAAATACAATAAATTTGAAGTTAGATAAAGGGAGGTTAGGTCCAGGGCGGTTGGGTTGATACATAAACAACACGTTATCCCATATTTACGATAAATTTGAAGTTAGATAAAGGGAGGTTAGGTCCAAGACGATTGGGTTGATACATAAACAACACGTTCCTCCCATATTTACGATAAATTTGAAGTTAGATAAAGGGAGGTTAGGTCCAGGACGGTTGGGTTGATGTGTAAAAACAAAAACACCTACCCAACAATATAGCTACAATATTGAACACAATTCCAAGTTTTAAAGGAGAGGGGTTGTTAGGTCCGTATCCAAAACAACACTTTTCTATGAATATGGTTTCAATGTTCAACAAAGAACCAAGTAGGCTAGGCACAATGCGGATAGGTTCATATCCAAAACTTCACTTTTCAAAGAAAATAGATAAAATATTCAACAAAGCTCCAAGACTCTTGCAGGTTAGGCACGGGCATTTAGGTTCATATCCTAAAAAAAAAACATCACTTCTCTGAGTATATGTCGTATCAGAGGATAGGGCCAGGTTAGATGGAATGGGTGAAAATGTGGGTAAAATGGGCTTTGGCTGTGCTATGATACACAACATTTAGGCATATTTGGTGGGAATTGTCTCCAATTTGGTGGTGATAGCTTAAATTTCCCCAACTTAAATTAAATCTGCTAGGTCTTGGTTAGGTAAGGCTATGTAGGGTAGGTTGGAATATGTGAAAATTTGGGTAAAATGGTCTTTGGCTGTACTATGTAACAAAACATTTTGGGTATATTTGGTAGAAATTGTGTAGGGTAGGGTAAGATGGAATAGGTGAAAACTTGGGTGAAATTAACTTTGGCTATGCTAAGATACAAAACATTGGGGTAAATTCGGTGGAAATTGGCTTAAATTAGGTTGAATTTAAGTTGGAAAGGCATAAATTTCGCCAATTTTAATAAAATCTAACTTTGGATATGCCAGGTGAGGCTGGGTAGGGTTGTATAGAGAAGGTTGGGATAGGTGAAAACTCAGCTAAAATGAGCTTTGGACGTGCTATGTTACAAAACATTTTTGGGATATTTGGTGGAAATTGTCTTAAATTAAGTTAAATTTATGTGGTATAACTTAATTTTCGCCGACTTTAACCAAATCTAGGTTTGGATATGCTAGGATAGGTTAGGTAAGGTTGGAGTGCGGTATGATGGAATAGGAAATAATGTAGGTAAAAATGGGCTTTGGCGATTCTATGATACACAACATTTGGATATATTTGGTGGGAATTGTCTTAAATTAGGTCGAATTCAGGTGGCATAGCTTAAATTTCGCCAACTTTAACCAAATCCAGGTTTGGATATGCTAGGTTAGGTTAGGTGAGGTTGTGTAGGGTAGGATCCCAGCAAACAATTTAAGGTTGCCACAACATATCTGGAAAGTATTTGAAAGGATTGGAAACGTTTGTTTTATCGTATCAGATACGAATTTGTGTGTGGAATTAAATAGGTTTCCAAAACTTATAACCAAAACCTACGTATCTAACACTAATTTGAGATGTTGTGGCAACTTTAGAATCCTAACATGAATCATTCATAATCCATTCATATACCAATATGAATCTCTTATGAAAGGTTTGAGCCTATAATCTGAACCCTTTTCACATCTTTGTGTTTAAAGTTAAATTTCTTGAAATTAAATTATATTATTTCATATTATATTATTATTTTTATTTTATTTTATATTATATTATTATTTTCAATTTAAATATTAAAACCAATTTAAGGGTAAAAAAATCTAATAATTTACATTTCTTTTATTATTTACTAACAATTATAATTATTTACTAACGGAGAGAGGGGAGGCTGTATGGCGGACAGTGGCGGCGGTGGCGGATAGTGGCGGCGGTGGCGGACAGTGGCGGCGGTGGCGGACAGTGGCGGCGGTGGCGGTGGTGGCGGATAGTGGAGGCGGGCGGACAGTGGTGGCGGTGGCGGACAGTGGTGGCGGTGGCGGACAGTGGTGGCAGTGGCGGACAGTGGCAGCGGCCGGGCGGACAGTGGTGGCGGGCGGACAGTGGCGGCGGTGGCGGACAGTGGCGGTGGTGGCGGACAGTGGCGGCGGTGGCGGACAGTGGCAGCGGCCGGGCAGACAGTGGTGGCAGTGGCGGGCGGACAGTGGCGGCGGTGGCGGACACTGGCGGCTGTGTCTGGCGGTGGCGGACAGTGGCGGCGGGCAGTAGTGGTGGGTGGTGGTGGGCGGCGGCGGCTGTGATGGGTGTTGGCGGCTGTGGTGGGTGGTGGCGATCGGCGGTGGTGGGTGGTGGTGGCTGGCGGTGGCGACTGTGGCAACGGGCGGTGGCGGTTGATGGCGGGCGGTGGTGGTGGCTGGTGTTGGTGGTGGCGGTGGCAGCTGGTGGCGGGCGGTGGCGATGGCGGCTGGTGGTGGCGGGTGGTGGCGGCTGGTGGTGGCAGCTGATGGTGGCAGCTGATGGTGGCTGGTGGTGGCGGCGATGGCGGCTGGTGGTGGTGGTGGGTGGTGGTGGCGGTGGTGGCGGCTGGTGGTGGTGGTGGCGGCTGGTGGCGGTGATGGCGGCTGGTGATGGCGGCTGGTGATGGTAGTGGCGGTGGTGGCGGGCGGTGGTGGCGGCTGGTGGCGGCGGTGGTGGGTGGTGGTGGCGGCTGTGGTGGGTGGTGGTGGCAGCGGTGGTGGGTGGTGGCGGTGGTGATGGGTGGTGGTGGTGGTGGTGGTGGTGATGGGTGGTGGTGGTGGGTGGTGGTGGCGGCGGCTGTGGTGGTGGCTGGTGGTGGCGGGTGGCGGCTGGTGGGTGGTGGGTGGTGGTGGCGGCGGCTGTGGTGGTGGCGGGTGGCGGCTGGTGGCGGCTGGTGGTGGCGGCGGTGGTGGGTGATGGCGGTGGTGGTGGTGGTGGCAGTGGTGGGTGGTGGCGGTGGCGGCGGTGATGGGTGGTGGTGGTGGATGGTGGTGGGTGGTGGTGGTGGGTGGTGGTGGCTGGTGGCGGCTGGTGGTGGTGGGTGGTGGCGGTGGCGGGTGGCGGTGGTGGGTGGAGGTGGCGGCTGGTGGCGGTGGTGGCGGGTGGCGGCGGGTGGCGGCTGGTGGCGGCCAGCTGGGACACACCCTTCACCACTGAAGGTCTGAGCACAACTAACCATATGTCTCTCTCACCACCAGCCCAGTGTTGCTAGCTCGCGCTCTCAAAATGTTTCCTTCAAAGATTGTATATTATCTTTGAACAACAAGTTTGATTATCAAGAATATAATGCATATATTATTGTCACATTAATACTGTGCAATATCTTATTACATTCCTGCTAAATAATTATAAGTTGAAACAGGACAAAAAATCAAACATATATATAAAAACCAACATTAGAGATCACGAGGCCTAGGCCTATCTGTGACCACACATCCTGCCTCCCTGGCCAGTTACCCCTCTTACACCTCACACTCTTAACTCACTCTCACTCTTACTCTCAATCACTCTTACGCACTATTACTCACTCTTACTCTCAGTCATGCTTACTCACTCTTACCCACTCTTACTCTCATACTCACTCTTACTCACTCTCATACTCTTACTCTCACTCTTACTCTCAGTCACTCTTACTCTGTCACTCTTACTCTCAGTCACCCTTACCCATTCATACTCACTCTCTCACTCTTACTCTCATTCACTCTCAATTACTCTTACTCTCACTCTTACTCCCAATCACTCTTACTCTCACTCTTACTCCCAATCACTCTTACTCTCAATCACTCTTACTCTCATTCTTACTCTTACTCTCACTCTAACTCTCAATCACTCTTACTCTAACTCTCAATCACTCTTACTCTAACTCTCAATCACTCTTACTCTCACTCTAACTCTCAATCACTCTTACTCTCACTCTAACTCTCAATCACTCTTACTCTCATTCTCAATCACTCTTACTCTCACTCTAACTCTCAATCACTCTTACTCTCATACTCACTCTTACTCTCATACTCACTCTTACTCTTACTTTTACTTACTCTCACTCTTACTCACCCTTACACACTCTCTGGCACTCTCACTCACCTTCAGTCACTCTTACTCTCAGTCACTCTTACTCACTCTAGTTAATAAGAACACGCCAATATAAGACAACAAAACGTTTTCAGATTCTTTCACACCACTTTCCAGCAACTTTTATAATTTATATAAATTATCTTAGGGAATAATACATAAATTATATATTTAAACATGATATTAGTGTTTAGTGGAATGCATAAGAGTCAAATTGCGTTAAAAAGAGTGATTTTTAGAAAATTTGGAAAACTACTTTTTTCTGATCATATTATAACTAAATGGATTTTGAACGTTTCACTGAGCCAATAAATATCATTCACAATTTATTAATGAATTTTACAAAAAACACCATAAATTTTATATTTAAACATGTAAAAACTATTTGTAATACATTAGGAACAAAATAGTTGTAGAAAAACAATTTATTATAAAACCTTTGTGTTTGGATTTTTTTATTAAAAGTTTCTCAAAGGCTCTCCTGCACCATTCTCAATGCAAATCATTCCCACACCTATGGGAAGAGATAGACGAACGTTTTCTAGATGATTTGTGTTTGCTGGGATGGAAATAGGAGAAAAAGTTGGTAAAAAAAAATGCGTTTTGACAGTACTATGATACACAACATTGGGTATATTTGGTGGAAATTCTCTTAAATTTGGTCAAATTTAGGTGGGAATAACTTAAATTTTGTCAACTTTAACCAAATCTAGGTGTGGATATGCTAGGTTAGGTAAGGTTGCGTAGGGTAGGATGGAATAGGAGAAAATGTAGGTAAAAATGGGCTTTGGCGATGCTATGATACACAACATTTTGGTATATTTTGGTATATTTATGAGATGAGGATCATGTGGTTGGTGACGGGTGGTGAACCATCACATAAGCCATGAGACAACCAGTCACATCACCCATCAGTCAAACAATCATGTCGATCAGCCATGAGTTAACCAGTCACGTTAGCCACGTGTCCACGATTCACGTCAGTCATGAATCATCCAATCAAGACAACCATGAGTCATCGGTTACGTCAGCCATGAGTCAACCAGTTACGTCACCCATGAGTCAATTAACTAATCACGACAGCCGTGAGTCAAGCATTTACGTCAGCCAAGTGTAAAGTAGTCACATCAGGTATGATTCAACCAGCCACGTCAACCATGAGTTAAGTAGCCACGTCAACCATGTGTCAACCAATCTCGTCACCCATCAGTTAACCAGGCACGTTATCCATGAGTCAATCACGTTACCCATAAGTCAACCAGTCACGTCATAAATCATCCAGTCATGAGAGATATGGGAGCTTAGGAGCTCAATCCGTAAGGAAGTCCTGCCTTACTTCTTGTAATAAAACTCTTCAATATTTAGTCATCCACTCAAATCTGTATTATCAACAAATATTAAAATATTTCTTCTTATCCAATAATGCTTTATTTTATAATGCACTATGTCATATATGCAGCATACCTTACTTAACTATATTGTAAGTAGGTTACTGTATTTAGTCTAGTAAGTACTGTATGTAGTCCAGTAGGTTACTGTATGTTGTATGTAGTCTAGTAGGTTACTGTATGTAGTTTATTAGGTTACTGTATGTAGTCTAGTAGGTTACTGTATGTAGTCTAGTAGGTTACTGTATGTAGTCTAGTAGGTTACTGTATATAGTCTAGTAGGTTATTGTATGTAGTCTAGTACAAGCATGAGTCCAATAGAAAAAGGAAAAGCGGGACCAAACCGCCAGGCTTCCACCACTAGAGTGAAAACCTGTCCACATAGGCCGCTGGCTCCTCCTAGTTAAACAGGACGTTAAAACCAATAAAGAGTAACCGACGGGTTCTCACAATCAAATATTTATATTTTATGTGGCGCTATGAATTGGAATTCGAATTCCCAAGAACAGCCGTCATTAAAAAAAAACATTGCAACAATCGTATAAAGCAGAACATGGGTGGAAAAGAATGGCTGAAGGGTTGACATCAAAGACCGTTTTCTATAACAAGATATAATTTATGAACAACAAGAGACTAAACTACTACAACATCGAGTTTACGTTACGTTAATGTCTATCCAGTGGCACTATAACAACAGCTAAATAGCAACGACTCTGGTCCATTGCTGTGCGGCTGCATACTGAACTAACCTGAACACAGGTGTGCCCACTGACGACGCAATATTGCAAACAAATAATTCACAAGCCTAATTTACACCACAGTGAGTGATTCGTTGTGTTATTGTCTATCCAGTGGCACTTGCAACACAGCTATTCAACAGCCCCTCGAGAAATGACAGCAGTTTCCATCTTGCTGACACTTCAGGCTGACTAAATGAACTAACTGAACAATGATGTCCACTGATGACTAGCTTGCAATCAATATTGACACGGTTTCACGGTGACCAGATACTATAATCACAATCTTCCGGGTCCTCCAACCTTACAGGCGAGATACCCACGTAACTAGGCGGGTAGTCCAACAGTGACCCCCCCCCTTATCACAACCTAATGTGAACACTCTTTGCAACTCCCTGCAAGAAGTTGTACTATAAACAGTAAACAAAGCCAGGCAAGGTGGGATTCTGAGACACTTCTCCAGTAATCCCCAAGTTACTTTACTCTCGTCACCAGACGATAAACAAAAAAAATTGCCTTAATCAATTACAAAATTGATTATGTGATTAATTACGTTAATTAACTGTCCACAGCAGTCAGCAACAAAGTACTCTACGTTAATCACAAACACTTGCCTCTCTTATAACACCAGTCATCTTGTTAACAATAACTCAGTCTCTTACATTACATCACACTTGACTCCTTTCAAGTATTCAGTGAGTAATTCCTAATTAATGTCAAAC